AAAAAAAAAGGTTTTTTTTTCAGAATTTAATGATTTTTCAGCAATTATAATGAATTTTAGTGTAATTATAATATGATATGAAAATTTTTTAATTAAAATAAATTAAAATTTAATATTTCTCGATAATATTATTTCATAATTTATTATAACAATTTTAATTTTTTTTTTGGAAAATATAATAATGAAATAAGAATCAACGTTTACAATTTAATATTTTGAAATTTATTTTTTCGTATTTTTCTCAGAAAAAATTTGAAAACAAAAATGTAATTATGATAAAAATTCTCTTGTTTTAAAACTTTAAACAGTATTTTTCGAGCAATAAATGAGTTGACTAAACATTACACTAAAATTCGTTATAATTGCTGAGAAATCACTAAATCCTGAAAAAAAACTTTTTTTTTTTATTTGACAATAACTTCATCTAAGAACATGTTTTTTTGGAATTTTTTTTTTAAATGAAAGCTAAAAGTTCAAATTTTTCAATGGTATAGTAAAAATTAACAATATCTAACCCCTTTGTGCCTGTACATCGCGTCAAACTTCACAAAAAATTAATGCAAATTTCTATGATTGTTTAGAGTGTAATTGTACATAGTTGCAAAATGTATTAATTAAAAACAATTAAAGTACATAAAAGTAGAGCTTTTAAGCTTCAAAATGAGATAAAGCAGAAGCATTTTTGATCATTTTTAAAGAAGTTATGACACTTTGAATTTTGCCATTTTTTTATAAGTTTCTAGGTGTACTGATACTTTTGAGCGGTACTGTATATGTATATATATATTGATCGATTCGAAACTAAACAATTTTATTCAAACATAAAATTACTTTATAAACCCGAAATATTGCGTAAAATAATATTACTGAATTCACATTTATTTGAGTTTAACTTTCATAACATTGGTAATATTTTAATACAGCATTAATCTGCTCCTCCAAGTAATTACAAATTAATTCTAAAAATTCAGTTCTTAAAATAATTGCTTCATTTTAAATTCATTCATTTAGTGAACAGAAAATCTTTAGGGATTAATCCGCGTGGTCTTAAAAGAGAAGACTATTATAATTAAGGCTCTTAAAGCTTATTCCCCATTATTAAATATTTAGTTGAAAATATTTCTCAGGAAATATACGGAGAACTGAATCGTTATTATTTATATATGTCATTTGTTCAAAGCAGATATTTCGCATTTTGAAAAATGCTTTATAATTTTTTTTAATATTTTATTGTCTTAAGGAAAGTTTTATAAGCTTAAAATTCAAAAATTTCATTCAATATTAGAGTGTTTTTCGTAAATAAATAAATCCCCTATATGTTGCATTCATGGCTTACAGAGATAAATATTTCTAAGAATTAGTTGTTATTAATGAGGTATTTACTTTGGGACTCCTATTTATTAATTTAATTGTGAATTTACATTAAATCACTTTTAATTATTCTAAACGCAATTTGTAACGTGAAATAATCAGGGAAGTCCTTACAAGTTTTTAAACGTGAAAAAAGAAGAGGAAAAAAACTTTTAAAAATAATTTGTACTCACATAATTAAGAATCGCTTTCTACATTAATACGTAAATAAAAAAAAACTTTAAATGAAAAAAATTAAAATGACACTCCACTGAATAATAATTTTTTTACTCACACATACGATAACTTCATCAAATTTCTACTGATTGCGTGATACATTTGGCAGCTTGTATACCTTATTCCTGAGAGCTGGAATAGGATATGGATTATAGGATAGGGTGTTTGCCTCCCTAAAAGATGTCCTAGGTCCGAATCCCGGCAATGGCTTGTGAGTTCATATCAAGGAATTTAGAAAGGAGACGCCCAGCTCTTTGAATGCGTAACTAATGCTGGAACTGCTCGGTGCGGTATGTTATACCAGAAAAAACAACTTACAAGGT